GCATCGGGCTCCCTGCTCAGCAGGGAGTCTGCTTCTCCCTCTGACCCTCCCTCCTCTCATGTGCTCTCTCTATCTCATTCTCTCTCTCAAATAAATAAATAAAAAAAAATCTTAAAAAAAAAAAGAAATGACAATATTTTGGACATAGCGGGTCAAGTAAAAAGTTATTGTTAATATTAATTTCATCTTTTTTTTTTTAAACTTTCACGTGGCTATTAGAAAATTTAAAATGTGGCCTCCGTTATATTTCTACAGGACGGCCCTGTTCTGGAGAGAAAGAGACTTCACCCCCAATCTCGTTTCCACCATACAAGCTACTTCCTGTGAAGTGTGGGTCACTTTAGGGTTGGTGTGAAGGTAGAATGTGAGTAATGCATGTGACGTACTTAGCAATGCATGTAAGTAAACAGTAAGTTCGGTGGCTATTGTCGAAGGCCTCGCTCTCTCTGTTGATGCCATCAGAGATGGGCCAGCCTGCTCAGTAAAGGCCCTTCCTCTGCGACCTATTTACACTCCGATGACACCAGAGGGTGATAACTAAGGGTGGCCGAGGCCTGATCCCGCTTTCGGGCGGGACTGCCCTCTTCATAACGAGAAAATTAAAATGACCCCAGGAGCTGGAAGTGGGACATCTGTATTTAAAATGCACGGAGCCAGAGTAAAAGTTGAACACCCAGCGGGCAGCGGGCCGCAGGCCCTCCCTTGGTAACCGACGCCGCCACCGGTTGCTAAGGGGGAGAAGGGGAAACAAGGATGTGGTCCGTCGGCTCTTGTTCTCCGGCGGCAGCTGCTTCCGGTTCTCCGGGGAGCCCGTACTTCGTCCTACCTTCCCCGGAGGAGCTGGGACTGCGGCTGCGGGTTCCGCCGCCTCGGGAGCCTTGGGAGCCCTCCGTCCAGCGCGGTGGTAGCGGCGGGGGCGGCGGGTCTCCCGCGCGGCCGCGATGCTGAGCTCCCGGGCTCAGGCGGCGATGACCGCGGCCGACCGGGCCATCCAGCGCTTCCTGCGGACCGGGGCGGCCGTCAGGTGAGCCTTGGGGGGCGGGGCGGCCGGAGAGGCCGGGGCCAGGGTCCCAAGCCTGCGCCTGCGGCGGCCTTTCCCGGCGCTGGCAGGGTAGCCAGGGCCGGAGCGAGCATTCCGGAGGCTTCTGCGTCGGGCTCGGTTGGAGGCCCAGGCCCCGAAGCGGGACGGCGGATGGGCCTCCAGGCCCTCCAGTTCTTTGGCAACGCCAATTCTGTCAGCCCTCCCCAGTTCTGCTAGCGCCCCAAATTCTCAGTGCCCTGCCCCCCACCTGCCAGTGCCTCCTCCAGTCCTGTCCTTGTCCCCAGAACTTCCAGACACCCTCAGGCTTGTCAAAGCCCCGAATTCTGCCAGTGCCCCTCAGGCCTCTCAGTGCCGCGCAGGCCTCCCAGGACCCCTTAATCCTTTCAGGGTACCCCCAATCCTTCTGGGCCCCCCGGTCTTGTCATTCCCTGGGCCGCCAGCGTTCCCCAGTCTTGCCAAGCGCCCCAATCCTGCCGTGGTTCTCACAGCCCTGCAAAGCGACCCAGGTCTGCTAGCCCTCCCCCCATTTTGTCAGTACCCCTATTCCTGTCATCCCCCCACCCCCCAGTTAAGCCAAGGATCCCTTACTCTGTGTGGGTCCTCAGTCTTATTAGTGAATCTCTATCTTGCAAGGGTCCCGGAACAGATCAGGATCCCTTAACCTGTAAAGGCTTCCAGTCCTGTTACGGTCTCCCATTCCTGCTAGGAACCCCAATAGTATGGGCCCCCAGTCCTGTCAGGGTCCCTGTTTCCCTTTTCTTCATCCTCCCATGGGCTCCAGTCTTGAGAGCTGAATGCTGCACCCCCATTACTGACCCTAAATGACTGAGACCTGTTGCTCAGCCTAGCTGCTTTCCTCTGGAACTGGAGCAGGTTTGAAGAGCTTATTAGTCCAGGGCCGGGAGCTCTTAATGGCTATCCTGTCCAGTGCCCCCATTCTGTAGGTGGTAAACAGGCCTTCAGATGGCTTTGCCTGTGGCTCTCCAGCTGACCTCACAGTAGAGCTGGGGGAGAAGACAGATCTTTTTATTCCCAGACCCCACTGCTCTCCTTGTGTTGTTATTTTGCAGAGGAATGGGGGTTCCAGAGTCACCAAATTTCACTGGGCTTTTTTGTCCATACCTTGCTGAGGAACCTGGGCAAGTCCTCTCCCAACCCTTCAACACTGTCTTTCTGTTTCCCTCACGAGGTTTGTGGTTTTAAGCACAGACTTGGCATGAGTTCAGATCCACGCTGCCTCACTCACTTTGACCAAGTTGGCTACATCTCTAACGTGAAAATGAAGATGAAAAAAAAAAAAGAAAGAAAATGAAGATGATAGGGGCACCTGGGTGGCTCATTCGGTTAAGCGTCTGCCTTCAGCTCAGGTCATGATCCCAGGGTCCTGGGATCGAGCCCCGCCTCTGGCTCCTTGATCAGCAGGGGAGTCTGCTTTTCCCTCTCCCTCTGCCCCTTCCCCTGCTTGTGCTCTCACTCCCTCTCAAATAAATAAAAATCTTAAAAAAAAAAAAAAGAAAAGAAAATGAAGATGATAATAGAACCTACCTGTGAGATTGTTTTCAGGATGAGATAAGATGATCACAGTGCCTGGCATAGAGTATGCACCCTTAAATATTAGTGTTTGCTTAGGGGATTTAAAGCAGTTGTAAAGTGCTGTAGAATTTCAATGATGGTTCTTTTTAACCTTTCCAGGCACTTTTGTTAATACACCTGTTGCGTGGAAGTCGGCACAATAAAGCACTAAGAAATTCAAGGATAACTTTCCCGAATGAAATTGAGATGATAATACTTAATAATCATAGCAGCTAATGTTTATTAAGCCCTTACCTTTGCTTCCTATGCCCTAGCGCTTGTTTGATTCTCAGAACTCCATGAGCTAGGTCTCATGGTCGTCCCCATTTTACAGGTGACAAAGCTGAGCCTGAGAAGCTAAAATGATCCTCTAAGGAATAGCAGAGCCAGAATCGAACCAGATTAATGCAGCGCCCGTTTCTTAACCAAGTTCTGTGTGCTTTCTGTTGACTCTGTCTTCAGAGAACAAAGATTTATTTGGAATTCAGTTTCAGTTATGTATCATATTAGTTATGACATTAGGAAGATGTTGGTTTAGTGTTGACTGAGCTGAGCTCAAAACAATATTCATATGATCCAAATACTGGAATAAGAATATATTACACACACACACACACATACACATATCAAACACATGTACACAGGTATAACACATATATATATTCACACACATGTCGTTTGTCTTATTTGGTGGAAATACAGAACTTTGTATAAAAACTGTTTTAAATTGCTTAAATATCTTGATTTGTAGTAAAAGAATAACTTCAGTGCTTAAGTCAAGTCTCAAGAAATTTTGAATTCAGTAAAGATTTAGAAGATCATTTATGCTATTGTATGCCTCCTCCCTGTTTAATAATCTAAAAGATAAATTCATTTCTGTATGTTTTCTCCAGTATCCAGTCATTCAGTAAATACTGTTAGGGACCTCTTAGGTGCCAGGCATGATCTAGAGACTTGGGATATGTCAGTGAGTAAAACAGACAAAGATCCCTGCCTGCAGGGACTTTGCTCTCCAGTGAGGGACACAGACAATAACCGTAGTTAATAAGTGAATGTTTATGGCAGAAGGTGGTAAAAAGAAGACGCAGAACTGGGTAGCAGGGACCAGGAGTGCAGGTTCTCACTGTTGGTTAGAAGTGCACGGGAGGTGAGCGAGAGAGCCATGCAGTGATCCGGGGAGGGGGAGAGCATTCCAGGCAAAGGGAGCAGCCGTGCTAAGGCCCTGAGGTAGCCAGTGTGGTGCCAGTGTGGGAGGCAGAGTAAGGGGGGAGAACCTGGCCTCCCCCTCTGAGTGAGATGGGGCTTCTGTGCCCTGACTTAGGTTTTAAATCCTAATGTCTGAACATAGCTGATTTTCAAGACATAATCTTGTGCTGTATGATGACTTCGACTTGAAAGTTAGGTGTTGGGTGGGCCAGTCGGTTACTTTGATGAAATGTTATTTCTTTGTACCTGTATCTGTATTTACACACACTGTGTTTGTGATGAGGGAAGACAGTAAACCTGTTTTCCTTTCTAGGTATAAAGTCATGAAGAACTGGGGTGTTATAGGAGGAATTGCTGCTGCTCTTGCCGCAGGAATCTATGTGATTTGGGGTCCTATTACAGAAAGAAAGAAGCGTAGGAAAGGTAAGAATGAGGTCATTAACCCCGTCCACTGTCCCACAACAGTACAACAAGGGGTGGGCATTTTTTGTTCTCTTGTGTCTCCAGCTTTTGGGCAGTGCTTTCTTTTAAGCAGAAATTAATGACTCATTATTTTAGACCCTATAGTGCAAAGATTTCTGTTCCCCCCCCTCAAATCTTGAGTTTGAGACATGCTCTGTCACGAAAAAGTTCACGTGGCTTAACTGTCTGACTGTTCTCCTTCATCTGGTGCTTGTATTGTTCAGCAGTGCGGCTGACTGATCGTGTGATACGTTTGTGGTCTCACTCCCGAGCTGCGAGTCAGCTAGGAAGAGTTTCCAGTTAGCGTCTTTAATACAAAATTCTATTTTCTTATTTTAAAACAAGCCCCCTTTTGTAAATGCTGCTCTCCCTGTGTTGATTAGAACAGCCACAACAAACAAACAAAAAAAGGGATCGGTATAGCAAAATGTTCATCGTTAAATCTGGGGGTGGTTATGATTGGAGGTGATGATATATCCTCTCTTTTATGCATGTGTGAGAACTTTCCTAATAAAAAGTTTCTTGGAAAAGTTTCAGCAGAAAAGGGAAGTATGTCAGATTTTGTCGATCTCTCTGCAGAAAGACTGATCAGAATTGCTATGGTGGTGTCTCTTGCACTGATTACAAGAACAAAATCATTGTCCTGGGGAGCAACAAAAGAACGGTTGTTTTCTTCTGTTCTGACGTTGCTTTCTTATCAAAGGAGAGAGAGAGAGATGTTACAAAGTGTTTTGTACAAACCGTGCCAGACACCGTGGTGGCGGTCAGGAGTAACCCATGACAGGGGACCTGTCCTTCTGTCGCTTCCAGTCTTCTGAAGGAGCAGCGCTGGGACCAGGCCTCCATACGGACAGAATGTCTGATCCCCCCCCCGCCGACGTCTGTGGATAAGGACTTTCTGAGATTGGAATTTTCAGTGTCAGGTTCCAGTGCAGAAAGTCTGGCTCCCAAATGGGAGAGAAAGAAAGAGCAGGTCCAATGTGATATGCTTTTCTCTTCTTCCCCTGACTTTTTTCAGGGCTGGTGCCTGGCCTTGTCAACCTAGGGAACACCTGCTTCATGAACTCCCTGCTGCAAGGCCTGTCTGCCTGCCCCGCTTTCATCAAGTGGCTGGAAGAGTTCACCACCCAGTACACCCGGGATCAGAAGGAAGCCCCCCCCCACCAGTATTTATCCTTAACGCTGTTGCACCTCCTCAAAGGTATCTAGCTGGGAACTTAAAGGGGATTGTGTGCATTTTGAAAGCAGCAGCCCAAATGACAGGCAAAGGGCTAATAGCTTTTGTGTGAAAAAAGATCATGCAGATCATCATGAAAAAAAACAAAACACACTGAGGGCCCAGTAGATACAAACAGCTATTTAAAAAAAAAAAATTTAAAGTTGTAACCATTTATTTTTAAAAATTATCAGTGTATTAACAGCTTTTTAGGGAAGAGAACAAATCCACTGCCACTTAAGCATTTTGATTGTAAGAAGTCCTCTGGTTAATTAAAGTTTAGAAAAAAAGAAGCGTCTTAGCCTAAGAAATAAGGTGGTTCGCAGAAGAAATAGTACAGACTGTATTTAGGTAGATACGAAGAGTATCTAACGGGCACTCAAATACTCAACTTGGCCATCATCAAAGAAATAGAAATGACATAGCGGTGAGGTTATCATTGTGTCGCCTGTCAGCAAAGACTGAAAACTCCACAGTCCTGCCCAGCTGTTGGACGACACGTTCAGACGTGCTGGTGGTGGTGTGACCCAGGGCCGGCTTTATGGAGAGCAGCTTGGAACGACATGGTGATAGCTTGCAAAGTGCTCAGTACCATCTGACCTAGGAATTCCGTTGACCATGACCGACGCTAGCCCGAAATGGAGTTGTAAGAGCAGATGAGCTCAGGAGTGGCTGGCCAGCTGCCCTGAGCTGGGGAATCACATGTATACAAGCTTGGCACGGGCTTGAAGCCGTCATCCATCCACCTTCATTTTTAAACCAGCTTTTTTGCCTGTAGAACTAGTTTTTCCTCCCATAACGTCTCTTAACGTCCCGAGAACATTCCACAGAACACGATTTGGGAAATGCTGTGATGTGCACAAAGATTTCCCAAGACCTGGTTACAAAGGAAGGCAGGGGAGGAGAGCGTGTGGGTGTCCCAACAGCAAAATGATTAAGCAGTCACTGGAATATTACATAGCCATTACGAATCATCTTTGTCAAGTGTTTGTTGTTGTTGTTGTTGTTGTTGTTAATGTGGGAGAGGCATAGACTATAATGTTAAGTTTAAAAGAGCGTTGTTCGAAATATGTTGTAATTTGACTTCAGCAAAGCGACGATTTCCACGGATAAAGGCTGGACAGAAAAAGACCAAAATGTTTACTATGGCCATTTGACAGTTTGGAAACCTTAAAACAAAACAACCATATTTCTAAAGTTCTCAACAATAAGCACATATTACTCTCACAGTCAAAAAAAAATTGGATTTAGAAAACACTTGGCTCACTGTTGCTTCGTGGAGACATGTTCCCAGGTGATCTCAGCTTGACACAGAAAGCGAGTTCTGCTCTTCTGTATAACAGGCGAGTTGAAAGTAATTTCTTCTGCTCCCCTGTTTTAAACAAGTACCACCCCAGAGTGGAAAGCTGAAATGCGGGCCGTGTAACGCAGGTTCAGGACGTGTCCTAGCGTGACTGCCAGATCCCCCCTCTTCACACGCATGACCCACAGCTGGGAACCGGAGCCATGTGGGCAGCTACACCTGGAATCTAGGCTCCCTTCCCTGCCTCTGCTTTTCAGGGTCATTTATTTTGGTTTTTAGAGATAATTTTTACTTTCACAAGTAACGCATGAATACATTCTGCTGGTAAAAGTTAAAGCATCACGTGTAAGGCGACAGTTCCCTTTATCACTGCCCCACTCCTGTTCCCCTCATTTCTTAGCCAAAGTAAAATACAAGTGTATCCTTCCAAACTGTTTTCTGTGCATTTTAATATGTTGCTAAGCACCCACAGAAATTACATATTGTTTCATTTATGTTTTTTCGTAACCAAATAGCATAATAATATCCGTGTTGGAGAAATGTCCGTTCCAGTACACGTAGCCGTACCTCATTCATTTCTTTCTCTTTGTGAGTTTATCGGTCTTATGTCTTCTGTGGGCTGCCTGCTCATTCCCATTGCCCAATTTTAAAAAATTGTGATAAAATATCCATAACATAAAATGTACCATCTTCACCATTTTAAGTACACATTGGGTAGCATTGAGTACATTCACATTGTTGGGTAACCATACCCACTATTCTCTTCACCAGAACTTTTCCATCATCCCATCCTGAAACTCTGTATCCGTTAAGCAGTGACTTCCCATTCTCCTCGATCCCCAGACCCCGGAAACCACTGTCGTACTTTCTGTCTCTGAGTTTGACTCTGTATCTCACAGAAGTGGGATCATACAGTATTTGTCCTTGTGGGTCTGGCTTTATTTCACTCAGCATAGTGTCCTTGAGGTTCATCCACGTTGTAGCATGGGTCAGAATTCCATTCCTTTTTAAGGCTTCGTATGAATAATACCCCATTGTGTGTACACAGCATTTTGTTTGTCAATTCATAAGTCAAGAAACATTTGGGTGGTTTCCACCGTTGGCTATTGTGAATAATGCTGCTGGGCATGGGTGTACAAAGATCTACTCATGTCCCTGCTTTTAATTCTTTTGGGTATATACCTAGAAGCAGAATTACCAGATCAGCTGGTAAGTCTGTTTAATTCTTTTAAGGGCTTGCCATACTGTTTTACAGGGCAGAGGTACCATTTTGCATTCCCCCCAACAGTGCACGCAGGGCTCCAGCTCTCCACATCCTTGCCAATGCTTGTTATTTAGTCTGTCTTTTTGATAGTAGCCATCATGGGTGTGAAGTGATCATCTCATTGTGGTTTTGATCTGCATTTCCCTACTGGTAAGTGATGTTGAGTAGGAGTCTTCATGTGTTTCTGGCCATTTGTATTGTTGTGGTTTTTTTGTGTTTGTTTCTATTTTATAAATGTCTACTCAAGTCCCTTGTCCATGTTTGAATTGGGATGTCTGCATTTTTACTGTTGTGTTTCGGGAGCTCTTAATATGTTCTGGATATCAATCCCTTATAGATATGTGATTTGCAGACCTCATTCCCTTTCACCGTTGTCAAGATATTATTATTTAGCTATGTGCCTCCAGGACCTTGTTGTCATAAACAGGCTACAGTGAATGTTCTTGTTTGTGCCCCTAGTGCGCACAAGCCTGTGTTTCCCTAGCATAGATCCTGGGAGAGTCAAATTGCTAGGATATAAATTGTAGGATGGGAAAAACAGTAGACATTGCCAGATCGCCCCACAGCATTTTAGGCAAAATTAGGCTAAGAGGGACATTAAAATTTTCCTTCAGAGGAGAAAAGCTAACCGACAGGCTGCCTGGGGAGCTTAGGAGGAAGAAGGGAAGTACGGTTGCCTGCGTAACGGGCTCCCTTTGTTCTGGAGGGTAAAGGTCTGACCCCAGGCTATGTCCGCCCCCTTAAGGCGAGCCTTAGGACTTAGCGCTGGCTAGCAGGGCTGCTGCTTCTCCCCAGGTTACCACCCCGAGTCACCACCACGTTCAGGTAGGGATGGAGGTGGCATTGCTCAGAACCTCCGGAGTCAGAGCCAAAGGAATGTCTCAAGTTCACTAAGTGCAAATCAGAAGAACCAGGCTAGCTTAGTTTTCCCGGAGTTAATTGAACTTGGGAAGCTGCCCTGTGGTGGCAGGCCCCTGTATTTTTAGCTCCCGCACTCTAGAAGTACTGGCCCAGTGAAATATACTATGGAAGGGGGCGGGCAAGATCAGGAATCAGCAAACTATGGCGCGTGGGCCACGTCTGCGCCACTGCCTGTTTTTGTCAATAAAGTTTTATTGAAACAGCCGTGCCCATTTACTTGCTCTTTACGGCTGCGGTGGTGTTACAGCAGCAGAGTTGAGTAGTTGCTGCAGAGCCCGCAAAGCCAGAAATGTCCCCTGTCTGACCCTTGACTGCAAAAGCTTGCCAACCCTTGATCTAGCTGTAATTATAATATAAACTCATAAGCCCCTCACACTTCTATTTTTGTTCGTTAGGCTTGATTCTACTGATGACTGAAAAGTAAACTCAGGGGCGCCTGAGTGGCTCAGTCGGTTGAGTGTCTGGTTCTTGGTCTTGGCTCAGGTCTTGATCTCACGGTCATGAGTTCGAGCCTCGCATTGGAATCTGTGCTGGGCGTGGAGCCTGTGTAAAAAAAGAAAAAGAGGAAAAAAAAAAAAAAAAGAAGGGAAAGTAAACCACTCAGCAGCCCCCTTCAGGCTGCCATGTATGGCTTGCTGTTTTACCATGATAATCAGAAACTCCAGGGAGACGGACACAGGTGAAGGCCCTGTGGCCTCAGAGAGAGTCCTGTAGAGGGGAGTCAAGCACTGAGCGTGGGTTGGACTAGATGAATGTGTAAGGGCTCTCCCGCCCTCAGAACTGTGAGTAAAAACCATTTGATTCAGCAGGAATCTTGCAACAATTTATATCGATGATGGAAATTCAAATAGCTGAAATCAGTTACTTCGTTTAAATGCTACAGGCTCATGAAAAATCACGTTCATTCGGGAAACACGCAGTGCCTAACAGCCCTCTAAGCCTTGGGTAAGGCTACAAAGAGGAATAATGAAAGAGCTATAGTTCCAAGGTGAATTTTACAGTGAGATGCTTAATTAGCTTTGATATGTTGTGCGGGGCAGGTTTCCTGGTTTCTTGTTGTGCTAGTGATGCAATCTAATAATTGCATTACCTTTTTGGTTCCCAGCTCTGTCCTGTCAAGAAGTCACCGACGATGAGGTCTTAGATGCAAGCTGCTTGTTGGATGTCTTAAGAATGTACAGATGGCAGATCTCTTCATTTGAAGAACAGGTGAACACCCCGTTCAAAATCCTGCCCACTAATGCGCTGGGGCCTGAGCTGGCAACGAGGGCTGGAAACTAGCCTCGTTGCTGCAGCATGAGGAATAAATGCCAGTGTCGACCTTGTACTTGCCTGGCCTGAGTGTACATTTCTGGGGCAGTTTAGGATTCTGGAACCAGATCATGAACTTTGTTCCTATTCTCCCGATCAGAGGAGAAAGACAGCTGTTTTTGTTTCTGTTTTTCTTTTTTTACCCAGTGAGTGGCAAGGTTAGCAGGATAGGGTTTGAACAGTTGCCAAAGAGCGATCCTCCTTTTCGTCCTTGAGTGACTTTGCACTTGATTACCTGGATCCTTCAGAGAGCAGCAGGTGGCTTTACCTTAGAAGCTTAGAGGTTCAGGTGAGACCCTTTTTTGAACCATACCCTTGTTTAAAGAAAAAAAAAATCATTTTTCGAGGCTAGATTACTTGAAGTGGCCCCCGACCTTGAGCAGCCGTCATGAGCAACCCCAGGGCCTTACGCCAGCCCCTCGTACCCCCTTTCCTGCAACTACAGATTCACTGCCTTTTTTGGTCCTGACCACCCTCCTCCTCCTCAGACCGCTAGTATGGACGGTGAGTCTGAGGCCGAAGCTGAGACAGTGAAGTTGTAGGGATAGGTCATTTAGCTTCCAGTGATGTGCGGGTATGTCCTCCCTGGCCACATTCCTGGGCCGGCTTTGGCCAGCTTTGTGTTGGCTGCTTCTGCTTCCACCATCCAGGCACAGGACCCAAGAAATGGGAGACGGCTTTTAGGCTCCCAAAAGCGTGGGACAGGAGTGAAAAGCATTTAAAAATGCTGGAAAGTGAGGTGGGAAAGCTCTCCAGCTGCCCTTATTTTATAGAGACTACCTCTGTTTCCATTTTAGTCTGAAGCTACGTAGGTGTTCCTTTTTAAACATGGTGTTGATGGTATCAACTTTCTTACAAGGCATCTCGATGAATCTCTTGTATATTGCAATGTTTTTCCATGTAGAAAATACTCACTAAATCCTCCTCTGGTAGCTGCCATGATTTAGCTGCATTTTCCTCTCTCTAACCTGAGAGAGTGACAGCGATTTAGCCCCAGAGACATCGAATACCTTGTCTAAGTCCCGCTCTTGTGTCAAGGACCCACTGACGCGCCAGTTCTCTTGGGCAGTGTTTCCAGCAGCCTCAGCCTGCAGCTGAGCCCCGCAGCTGTAGCATTCGAGGGAAAGAGGCGGGCATGGCTGGCCGCCGGCCTCTTCCTCTCTGAAGGCAGCCGGAGCTTCTGGCCCGGGGCCTTGTCCACATCTTCGTTATTCCTGATCCCGTCAGTCAACAGCAGACACTTTCCAGTGTCTGGAGCTAGAGCTGTGGGGGATGTATCGGGCCAGGCGCTCGCCTCGTGTGAATTCTCGGAGTTCATCCTCACGGCAACCCTGTAAGGTCTCACTGTTACTGTCCCCATCTTGCAGATGAGAACACTGAGGTTCAGAGAAGCCCAAAGTCACACCGCTCCTTGAGTGGCAGAGGCAGGATTCGGGCCACTTGTGCTAAAGTGCACAGCGAAGCTCCACCCTCTTCTTCGAGGCATTCCTTTTGTCAAGGCCAAGTAGTTCCATGGCCGACGGTGATGGAAGAGGGTTTAGGTCTGACTCCAGCCTGTCTTGGGATTCTTCTCACTGGGGAACCCTTGTTCCTGTTTCATATGCCTTGTCTGTGAGCCTCCCGGAAAAGCTGGTCCCCTTTCAGGCGGGAGCACCGCCACTAGATAAATAGCCAGGCGGCCCCATCTACCCCTGGGTTGTGCGTCCCATGAGGGCCTTGCCTTATTTATCTTTGAACCTTTCATCACTCCCTTGCTAACTGCCCTTCATGGCCTGGGAGGGGATTCTTGTATACGGGCCACAAATGTTTATGGAATGCCTGCCTCAGGCGGGGCCTGCCGAGGGCCTGGGCTTATGGTGGCAAACAGGACTTGCAGGGCTCCTGCTCACAGGAAGCTCCTGTTCTAGTGGAGGACTGTGGACAGTAAAGGGGTACCGCCAAGACAAGCGTGCTGACGTGCCAGTGTGAGTGTAGGGTGGCGTGGAGCTGGGGTGGGGGGCAAAAAGCAGTGGGGAGACTCCCTTAGGTAGGGAAGGCGCTCCTGGAGACGCGAGGTTTTTGCTGAGACCTGAAGTCTGAAAAGAAGGGAGGCCTGTGAGGAGCTGGGTGCAGAGTGTTCCAGACGGGCCTGCGCAGGGTGAGACCTTAAGGATGCCGCGTTGGGGAAGGGCAAGGGGGCAGCGTGGCTGTGGCCAGGGGCAGGAGGGCAGCGGAGGGGAGGGGCTCAGGGCTCGGCAGGCAGCAGGTTGTGCAGGGCCCCGGGCGCTCTGCGCCGGAGCTGGGCTTCTGCTGTATGTGCAGTGGGACCCACTGGCAGCCTTGTCCAGGGACTGCTGTGACCTGGTCTGTGTTTGAACAGGACATGCTGTCCTGGAGGGACCGTAGTGGGGCAGAGGGAGCAGAGAGGAGGGTCGGGAGGCCGTTGCTGGCGTCCAGGCGGCCGATGGCCTGGCTCAGACTGGGGTTGAGGCAGGGGGGACGGAGAGTCCTCGGGATTTGGGATGTGTGCTGGAGGTAGCTGCACCAGCAGGAGGTGGCGGGGGGGGGGGCGCTTCTTATGTCAGGGAGGGTCCTTGCAGGAGGGTCTCCTTCAGGACGTGCCTTTTCAGCAGAAATTTGAAGGATGAGAAGGAGGCAACTGTGTGAAGACGGGGGCGGGCTCCTCAAGCCAGGGCACGGGAAGAGCAGGCCCCGAGATGGGAATGTGTGTGCTGGCTCATGGGGCGGGAGGAGGCCCAGGGCGCAGGCCTGGTGAGCGAGGCAGGGAGGGCGAGGGGCCACATCAGGTCTTCGGGCTTTGTAGGCCGGTTGGGGGTGGGGACTTACCCACCAGGGAAAGCACTGGGAAGTTGAAAGCGGAAGAGGAAAGGCATCTGCCTCTTAAAAGATCACCCTGGTGACTGCAGGGAGAGCATAGCGGGCCAGTGCCTCCGGAATTCAGGGGAGGAGAGACCGACCCATCTCAGAAGAGCCAGGGAATGGCTTTGGCTTTCGGGGAGAGCAGCCCCCTGCCATATGATGCAGCAATTCCACGTCCAGTGTATGCCCAAAAGAATTGAAAGCCAGGACTCCAGCGGGTACTTGTCCACCCATATACATAGCCGGTCATTCACAACAGCCAAAAGGTAGAAGCGGCCCGGTGTCCAGCAGCGCATGAATGGATAAACAAAATGCGGTGTATGTGTGTGTACACATGCAGTAGAATATGTATACGTGTACGTACTTACGTATTCATATACACGCACAATGGAATATCATTCAACTTTACAAAGGAAGGAGATTCTGACACGTGCTACACCGTGGATGAGCCTTGCAGACATTGAGCTCAGTGCAATAAGCCAGTCACGGAAGGACAAACACTGTATGATTCCTTATCCAAGTTGCCACAAGTGGCCCAATTGCTGGGGACAGAGAGAGGTGGCCGCCGGGGGCTGGGGGCTGGGGGCTGGGGCTGGGGAGTCAGTATTTCATGGGGACAGAGTTTCGGTTGGGGAAGCTAGAGAAGTTCAGAGGATGGGTTGTGTTGATGGTCACACAACAGTGTGAATGTACTTAACCCAACAGGAGTGTCTGCTTAAAAACAGTTAAAATGGCAGCTTGGATATCATGTGTACTTTACTGCAATAAAAAAGGAGTAGTCCGGTGGCATGGGAGGCCAGGGCCATGTTGACAAAGCTGAAACAGGCTCAGAGACAGCTGGTGTGAAGGCAGTGCCCCCCCCCCTTTCCTTCTCTCTCCCTTTGGGCCCCTTAGTTGAGGGCCTTTGTTGTGAAAATGTCCGGGGATATAAATTTGCATTTAATGGGCCGAACCTTGAGAAGGTGGAGAGCAGGGGCACCTGGGTGGCTCAGTTAGTTACATGGCTGCCTTTGGCTCAGGTCACGATCCTGGGGTCCTGGGATCGAGCCCCGTGTCGGACTCTCTCCTCAGCGAGGAGTCTGCTTCTCCCTCTCCCTCTGCCTGCTGCTTTGCCTACTTGTGCTCTCTATCTCTCTGTCAAATAAATAAATAAAATTAAAAAAAAAAAAAGGGGGCGCCTGGGGGGCTCAGTCGTTAAGCGTCTGCCTTCAGCTCAGGTCATGATCCCCGGGTCCTGGGATCGAGCCCCACATCGGGCTCCGTGCTCGGCAAGAGGCCTGCCTCACCCTCTCCCCCTGCTTGTGTTCCCTCTCTCGCTGAGTTTCTCTCTGTCAAATAAATAAATAAAATCTTAAAAAAAAAAAGGTGGAGCAAATTCTGCCCCGTTAGCTGCGGGGGATCTGCCTGGTGGTGCACACAGGGCCCCCTCGGGCCTCTCTTAAGCTGCTTTGCCCTTTGACAGGATGCCCACGAGTTATTCCATGTCATTACCTCATCCCTGGAAGACGAGCGGGACCGGCAGCCCCGGGTCACCCATTTGTTTGATGTGCATTCCCTGGAGGTAAGCCCTTGGTATTTCCAAGACGTGTGTGGTTTGTGCATTTTCATAGGGATAGATAGAGAACACGAGTATAATCTTTGTACAACTCTAAACTCAAAAGTAAGTCTCAGTAAAAATCAAGAGTGGGCGTGGGGCTGGGGGATTGTCTTATGCTGCAAACTCTGCAATTGGTGACTTTGGTTAGGGGTGTCAAGGCTCTTTAAAATGATTCATTGCTGCAATTTGTGGTGGCTTTGAGAAGAAAAGGTATTTTTCCCCCTATTTAATACAGGGAACAAGGAGCCATAGGAATGCTAAATGAATCCTCATTTCCCTGGAACATGATAAATATTAGGGAGTTGATAAAAGTTAACTAATAAAGGGGTGGGGGGAAATATTCCAGAGAGAGGAAATGTGTTTTTCATTTGATGAAGGATTAGGTACAGTACCCAACCAGAGAGAATCATCAGGGCTACTTTCAGGATCTGGTTAAAAATTGGGTTTAAGTGGTGCAACCAGCAGAGAAACTTGTAAGCTTTAGGAGCAGGTGAGGGGGTTAAAAGGGATCGCAGCTGGGTTTTCAGTCTGTTTTTTTTTTTTTTTTTCTTTTTTTTCCCTACAGCAGCAGCCAGAAGTAACTCCTAAACAAATAACCTGCCGCACGAGAGGTAATCATTCCCCTCGAGCTATAAGACGCAAGACGGGTACTTTTGAGATGTGACAATGATTTGCTTGTTTACAAAAACAATAACTTTTTTTCTGGGCACATCCAGTCCAACTTGAACTGTGTGTACTTGCAAAGGAACTTGGGTTTTAGAAACAGCTCTATCTTGTTCCCTTGGGCCATCTTGAATTGTTCCCTCACGCCTTGCTCAGTTTCCCGCCTGGAAAAAAAGTAACGGACTTATTTCTACTTCAGACATGGGTTTCCTTTCTACCTTCTTGAATTGATCTTGTGAGGAGCTTCTTAGGCTGAAACTGTCATATCCTCAGCAAATGATCACAGTCCTCGTTAGAAGGAGATTGTTGTTTTCTTAAGACCTAAACTTAAGGAAAAAAAAAAGGAAAGACACGTGAATTCCTTTGTGCATCAGTAGTAATAACAGTGATTATCTTTTGAGGCCCAAACTGTTTGCCAGGCACCGTAGCATCTCATTTAAGCCTCACAGCAATGGTGCGAAGTTGATCGTGGGGATAATGGGTTAATCATTGCCCTCATTCCCAGTGAACCGAGGTTCACAGAGATGAAGTGACTTCCTGGGTCATAAAACTAGTAAGAAGCAAAGCCAGGATAGAGCTCAGGGCCGCCTGACTCTAGGGCGTGTGTTTCTGACTAGCCTACCACGCTGTTGATTCCTCCAACTCCTGTCCTATCCCAAAAAAAAAAAAAAATCCAGTTTTTCAGAAGTTGCTTATTCTGATGATTTACAGAAGTTTATCTCACTTTCTGGAATGTTCCCTTGTGGTATCCTTCCTTGGACATCTCAAACATCTTAAGCGAATGTTTGTGAAAATACATTATTCAACACCAGTTCCTTTTTTATTTCATTTTTTTTTCCTTTCAAGATTTTATTTAAATTCAAGTTAGTGAACCTATAGTATAAATTCCGTTTTTAAATGTGGCTGTACCCATTATACAGAAACCACGTTTAAGGACTTGCATAAATTCTCCTGGGAAGGGGATGGGTTGCCTTTTTGATGGAAGTCAATAAGGAAAGCTATTTCAGTTTACTTTTCAGGAATATTTTTTTTCCTAAAGAGGGAGTTGCTACGAAATACTAAAAAGGAGGGTGAGTTTGGAGGTTGGTGCCAAAGGGCTCGAGGTGGCATAGCAAGACATGTTCTGTGTTTCCAGGCTCACCTCACCCCACGTCCAGTCACTGGAAATCTCAGCATCCTTTCCATGGAAGGCTGACGAGCAACATGATCTGCAAACACTGTGAACACCAGGTAAATACAATACCAGCGCTTGATATTTTCTGGCGAGGTTTTCTTTCAAGTCGAGACTTGGGAAGCATCTAGAGAGTGTGGACTGATGTTGGTCGGTGGCGTTTGTGGTCACCTGGGCTCTGCGCACCTAGTGGACAGACCGCCTCCCTTTAGTCAGTGACCCTCGGGTGGCATCTTCTGCCCTGAGAGCAGCAGACCCACTGTGCACTGGCAGGAGCTGCGTCTCAAGGTTGGGTCTATACTGACAGTAGACACAACAGATTCTGTTGTTTGGTTGGGTTTTTGGGGTTTGGGGGGGTTTTGCTTTCAGCGTTTTAAAATTTTTATTTGGAAAATTTCCAACATAAATACAAAAATAGAGAATTGTGTAACTATCGCCTCGATCAATTTTAGGATATTGTCATCCTCCCCACCCCCACCAAAAAAAAAAAACCCTGTGCCCATTAGCAGTTACTCTCCATTTCTCCCACTCTTCTAGCCTTAGGCGACCACTAACCTACTTTGTGTCTCTATAGTATTGCCTATTCTGGATATTTCATATGCACGGAACCGTACAGTACATGGTCCTTTGCGACTAGCTTCTTTCACTCAGCATCATGGTTTTCTTTTATTCCATTAATATGGTGAGTTGCAGTGATTGATTTTTCTTTTTTTTTTTTTTTTTT